AGGTGTAACAGAGCAGATCCAACCTAAATCTGCGCGTGTGTGTGTGTGTGTGAGAGAGAGAGAGAGAGAGCGAGAGAGCGAGGGACGGAGAGAGCACTGATTTCCGAATGACACTGAGATGTATAATTTCTCAGATTACTGCTTTCATCTAGAGGATGGTGTAAAGATTTTGGCATAATATGACATTACTAAAGCCTTTTAGCGCGTCTTCATCTTCCCCTGTGTGGATGGCCACCCAAAATAAGAACCATTAATTTTATCACAATGGTGCACCTATTTAGCTGTCCCTGATGTCAAACCCATAGTGGAAATTCTTAAAAAGTGAGTTTCTCAACATGTGCATTGCCAAAAACCTTTCAATCCACTGCTAGTATATTTCAAAATTACTTTAAGTGGGAACATTTCCCGAATCGTAAAATGTATTTTTCTATTTAAAAGTGAAGAGGCAGAGAAATAATGTAATGATTTTACTTCTTTTCAAAGAACACATTTAAGATAAAGAAATGTTTTTGACCTACAAATGCCATGAAGTTCTTGCTCTCCTGTCTAAGCTCTGAAATCTGCTATGTCATGCATAATAACTGTGTTTTTCAAGTAGGAACATAATCTCTTTTTTAAATCTGACACTATCACTTGGGAGCTCAACTTGTTTCATGTGTGTGTGTTGGGTGTTGGATTGGGGCAGGGAGCACACTGTAATTTGGAACAACGTCAGTGGAAGGGAACGCTCTGCCAAAGGGATTTTAAGCAACAAGTAGCAATCGCTACTGCCAGCTGAGAATTAAAGACCCACTTGCTCTAACTTAGGAGGAACCTGAGTCCTCCCCACTGATTAGACCAGAGGCCAACACTGCAGCCGACCTGATGAGGAGCTGTCTAAACAGTTACAGGCTCTTTTCCTAAGAGGTCAAAATAAGAAAAAGGAAGAAGGAAGAAGGAAGAAAGGCAATTAAATAAATATAATTCCTTCAATCAAGTAGGAACAGTGTGTTATAATGTGTTTTATGGGTTCCCAAAAAAGGTGTGAATGATGGTATCAACAAGGGTAACACACTTGGTACTGAATCTCTGCTTCCTTGAAGCAGTCACAGAAAATGGACATGGGATGATTCCGTGTAGTGCTGAGTCCAAAGACTCAGAATCAAGTTCCGACTGGAGGACTTGGACTCTGTGCAACAACACTCTCCTACCCCTCTGTCCCTCAGTTTCACTGTCTTCCAAATCCCAATTATATGGCAGGAACCCAACTATGAACAAGGCCGCGTTCTGTCCTGGGGGACTTCTCGGTAGAGGCAGACTCGGACAAGTGAGTGGATCATACAGCAGGAACAGAAAGTTGTGATGGGGACACTGAGTGAGAAAAACTATGAATATGTACACTGCTATTAAATATCATGACTTTTACTGAAGAACTGCAGTCAAAATGGCCCAGGTATCCTGTTAACTAAGCAACGGAGAATTAACTTTATCTTTCTAGATGCCTTTCCTCATAGGCACCCCAGGATACACCGTCAGTGTTGGCTACTGTGTAGTGAGCACCAACTACAGGCTATGCAGAGAACCAGATCCTGGGGGTACAAAGTAACTTTTACTAAGTATCTGCAATTTCTAAGGCTTTTCGTTTTTTCTTTAATTACATTAAGTTTTGAAGAAAGTTTTGATTTTTCCACCTTAGATAGATTGCATTCTAAAGTTAATGAATACTACCTTAACTTTCTCTTTTTATAAGTCAACTTTCAAAGTGGGTAAGACTGTAACTAATGGTCTGGTTACTACTATATAGGCCTTTTAAGACAAGAAAGCTCTCTGTTTCTAAGAATGCAGGATTGTGAAATCAAACTCTAATGTCAAGAAAGTTGTGTGAAGCTCAGGCTCATAGACCCTTTAAAGAAAACATTCTGTGTGGTTGTGGCCAAGTGGAAAAAATCCCTGCCTTCAATAACTGGGTATACAGATTACACAGGAACCAGTTATCTGGGAGGAGCTGGATCTTACAGTCTTTATGCAGTTTGCCTAGTACCTAGGACAGCCCCTTCCGCACCAGCATCCGCACCTGTAGCTCAAGCAATGGTTGTAGGTGGGCTGAGAGAGACACTGCCCCAGTCAGGATCAGACAGCAAAGCGTAACAAAACCCTTTGCTGAGACAAAGCATATTTCTCTTCATAATCTTACATGTTGAACACTAGGAATATTGTTTGAGTCCTCTGTTGTCATCAGTGGCCACAGTTTGCTTCAATCTCACTAATTTCAAATGAACTAAATAAAAAGTGTAGTGAAATGACAAACTTCAGATATAAAGAACTGAGAAATAAAGCTAGAGATCTGAAGGCATGAGAGAGTAAAAATATAAACAAAAAAATCAAAGAAGCATGTGTTTACTTCTAATCACTGCTGCAATGTGAGTTTTAGAAGTTACTCTCTGAAGTCAACTGCATGAGAAATGTGGCTCTCAGGACACAGTGGGAAAGGCTCTTGACCTTTTCCCAAACCATGTTTATGTTGGACAGGAAAGAGAAGTAACATAACTGTCTCCTAAATTTATGTTTATTTGAAAGTAGCTATTATCTTGAATATCTCGAATTTTATACTAGGCAAGTAAAGTGTGCTGTATCATATTTTATCCCATTATTTATGGAAGCTTTTAAGCTTCTGTGTAATTATTTATTTTGGAATCAGTCACAGTTTCCCTACGTGTAGCAAAGAAGAGTCTTAGACTTGAAGGTAAGCTGGCGACACACTGTAGAGGGAACAAAGGAATATGAAGGCCTGGATGTTCAGAGGCATGTTGTACAGCAGATCCGGCACGGGGCACCTCTGGAAATTTCAAATGAACTGTGGAGTGGTTCTACTTAGAAGTGAAAGGTCAAGGAAAAGCATGCAATTAGTAACTTGGATTACATTTCTATAGACAAGAAAAAATATTGTTTAAAGTACAAAGAAGTATCTTTCAGAAGCTTTTAATGAAATGATGTTCTGTGTCCAGAAATGGGCTATTTTTCAGTTGTTGGAGAAACACTACAGTTGGGTTTCGGACAAAAAAAAAAAAAGCAGGCAGAGCATAGGCTACATTTTAAATATCCAGATTAGAATCTTCTCTTCCTACACAGGCTGCCTCCTTCAAAAGGGCAAGATTAAGAAAATTGGTAAGAAGTGGCTTTAATATATCCACTCGGACTGCTGTCAGCAGTGCAGAGGGCATAGGACGGCCCAGTTCTCCAGGGAATCACCAGCATTTCTCCCTAACACTCTAATTATGTACTGGAAGGCTGACAGCGGTCTATACTTTGACCATGCCAAGGTCAGATCTAAGAACTGTTGTTGGATAACCTAGACTCAAATATCCAACCTTGCTTCTAAAATACTGGTTTTTATCAGATTCAACAAAGTTATTTATTCTCCTTTCTCTTTTCCCTGCATGGTGCGCATTATGAACCCTTCCTGTTTTCAACCACACACACCACAGTTACAGTTCTAATTAGGGCTACTATGTATCAAGTACCTACTCTGCTGCGGCAGCTTGAAAAATGGCCTGGCGCAGATACGGAACGGATCTGTTACATTCTTAAATATAAGCTATGTTATAAGAAACTGGAAATAAAGGTTACTTGTGTGAACAGGTACAAATTATGAATATGGTAAAGGACCAAGATGTTTATATTTATCTTTAGAAGGTGAAGCCTGCCTATGCCACAAAGAAAACTTGGGCTAATATCAAACTATTTTGAAGGCTTAGTACATACAACTGACTTGGACTTTGCTATGACATTTGGCCACACATGCCACAGGGACACCCTGACCATCCCATTCAAGGTGAGGACTTAGCAGCAGCCTGGCATGAAGAAATAATGCTAAACTTGCCTTGTTTTGAAGTAAGTTTAGAATACTCATGTCAGGAAACAGAAATAAGGGTTTTCAAATAAGGAGTATTTCTTTAATTTATATGTATATATACACACACACACACAAACAGAAATATGGGTTTTCAGAAATGTATACACATACAAAAAAAGGTTTTTAAATAAGAGTATTTCTCTAATATATTTTACTTTACTGAACTTTAATACACTAAAGTATATTAAAGTGTATTTAATATACTTTAAGGATAAATTACCCAGAAAATGACACCATTTTGGACACAGACGCTCGTGGAATATCTTATTTATCCTAGTGGCCTTCTGGGTAAATTCAAAAGGTTTGGCTAACATTTCTAATCCAAGATTCTCACCAGAATAGATTATTTCATCCACACAGATCTGAGTTGATCAACACTGTTTCAGGATTTGGAAATAGTGGGTATCTGATGAATGTTTCAACCTGAAACTATTAAAATTGTTGCCATTTGTCTCTAGATTGCCAATGACTAGTCCCTTTAATGGTCATTGTTTCTAGATAACTCATCGTTAAATGGAAATTTAAAGTAGATCGAATAATGGGTCTAGAATGACTGAGAACATGGAGCCAACTGCTGCGTGGCTCTCATCACCGAGTAAGATTACAGACAGTGCAGAGCCCTGAGGAGGGAAAATCAGGTATGCTCCCCTCTAGTTCTACAATGCCTTTCATTAAGCAGGAGAGGGCCACTCGCTTTCACTCACTGGGTTTTGCTGAGATTTGGTTTTGGTTCAAACTGTGCTGAAGTCCAAGGTTCAGAGAAATGAAAGTGGGAGGGGGGATTCTCTTCATCAGGTTTCCGTAGAATAACAACAGAATATACTAAGAAACAACAATGATATGATTATCTGTATTGTATCCATGCTATCACTATATCCAGATTTCTCTTCCACAGGAGTTAATAATGTAGAGAGAAGGGGGAAAATGAAAAGACTGAGGTCCATACATGGAAACATGGAATCGCAAAGAAATGTGTAAGGCAATTCTTAAAGAAAAAAAAAAATCTCGTAAAAAGAATATTCTTGAATGTCTAGAAATTACAAGAAAAAAAACCTTACAAGTCAGAGAAGAATTAACATTTCTTCCAAATATTTGTTCCTAGTATAGTCATTTTCACTTTAAAAAAATCAATTAAAAAACTTATCAGTGTCAAGAATAATCATCATGAGAAAGAGACTTTGGCACTGTGGAACGACTACAGATATTACGGAGTAGGGTCTGGGTTTGAGCTCCAAATCTCAGTTACGTGGCCCTATTTGAGTCCCATTCCCAAGTATGAAATGAAGATTAAGGGAGCAGTTTCTCTACCCCAGACAGATGGATCACTGTGGGCTCCCAGGGAACAGTACATGAAAAAAGAACTGTACATTTAAACTGCAATATAAAGGGTGTTTAGGATTATTATCACTATAATCCACTGCATCTTTGGCAACAAAAGATTTTACCCAGATTTTTTTTTAAAGCAGGAAAAATAATTTACAATGAATCTCTTTCCTGCCCACCAACTGGATTATTTTGTTCCATTCTTTGCAAAGGTTTTACAAAATTACAAGGCTGCACCCTTAACAAGACACTGGATGGTGGTGGTTTGAAAACTGTTGTGTAAGAAACAGCAGAGAGACTGAGGGTGGAATAGACCTCTTCTAGTCTGCTGTAGATGAGTGCCATGGGCACACCCTGAAGGTGGAGATCACAAGAGGGAAGACTATGGAAAGAATGGTCTAACAGCAATAGCGGTTCCCAATGAATAAACCACTTCAGTGGTACAGAGTGATCAGCCTATCCATGACCAAGTCAAACAAAGACTGAATTGAAAAGCAAGTTGAACTAGGTTAACTTTTAAATATCTTATAATATATATTCTTCCTATGACTGCCTATTTCTGTTAGGGAAAAGTCCTAAAGACGTATCTGAACTTTTATCTTCAATGCCTTGGGAACCTTGACATAATACATATGTGATAGAATGAATTATTGGTCCCAACTCTCCTCTCCCTTGCAGTACTAGTATATAGTCTCAGTCATGCCGTGGCTTCCTGATGAGTGGAGCATATGCCTTCGCTTTGACTCTGGACTCAGTCATGTGACTTGTGCTGGCCAATGTGGCATTAGCCGACATGAGGCGTGGTTGACCTTTTCTGCCTCTGTCTTCATCAGCATGGCCACTCCCCCTTCAGCACAGAACACAAAATGAGACCTGTGGAGCAGACCAACCTCGGCTGACCTTGGATGACCAGATTTTTTATAGCAGACCTGCCTCAACCAATTTGTAAGCCATCAATGAGAAATAAAAGGTTTTTTTTTTGTATGTCACTGAAATTTTAGAGGTTATTTGTTATTTGGCAATAGCTGACTGGTGTAACATGTGTTATGAAATATATTCTAAGGAATGATTCAGAATTGCCCAACTTTCATTCTGGAGTCTATGTAGGTAAATTAAAATGATCTCATTAGAAACTGGTCACCAGTGAGACTGCTTGACCATCAAAGAAGCAATAATAAAAGTGCTCTAAACTGCTTATCATTCAAAATATTAAATCATCCAGGAAAAGAAGTATAAACAAAAATTATCATAATTACTATTGCTGGAAGGCATAAGGATTCTCTCCAAAGGATTCACATGCATTTTTTAAAGTAATGAGAACAGGGAGACAACGTATTCTGAAATGTTTTTCAACAAAGCCTAAATAAATTCATCCCACCACAAGTCTGCAAAACAGGCAGCTGTATGCAAAGTGGAGTTTAATCAAATTCACACAAAATCACTGTGTTAAAAGCATTCAGGGAGCTTTTATGAAGAATGCATTAATAAGCCCCACAATGTATATGTTTATTCCTATATTACAATGCAAAACGCCACATAGAGTATGTATAAGCCCCCTTTTTCCCCTGTTGCAGGAACTCACTACAATGTAGATGTCATTTTAAGCTGGATGCTGAGACACACACCCGCCCTAGCACAGTAGCTCCTGGGCTCAGAACTGAATACAGCCAGAGGGAGGCTGCCAGGATTGAAGCCACAGTGGATGAGGGCACAGACACTACTCCACTGGCTTCCACAGGAATTATGACAACTTTAATACTTTTCATGGATAGTAAATCAAATTTTCATATCAAAGTCTATATTTGATCTCAAGGTAAAAAGTGTGTTTAGGTCAGAGAAATGACATGTAAAATTTGAACGCTGGAGGCTACTTCTTTTATGTAGTGACTCCCCGTGCAACCCTCACGGTGGCCTGCCTGGGTCACAAAGCAGACTGAGAAGTTACAATGACTCATACAATTTTTTATTTGGTGGCTGTATTTGCTGCATGCTCCATGTATGAACAATGTTAAAGACCACAATTTACCACACAACAGAGTTATGCTTTTTAACCTATGAGTACAAGAATGTCTGTTTAATATTTATCATTCTTTATCAAAATTTCGTACTATTTATGTATTATTTCCTTTTTAGCCACAGCGTCCCTATACAGGAATTTAAAATTCCACTCCCCTGTTCTTCATGATCATGAAGAGAAAATACTCAATGGGACAATTTTTTTAAAAGCTGAAAAAAGTGAAACATGATATTGAATTAGGAGAAATATTATTGAGATATTAGAAGACTATCATGGCTTATTTTTTATTATTTTTTCATGGTGGAAGATCTACCCAGCAAGAACGTGATAAACTAATTTTAATGATGTGCTCATCACAGACTCAAAAGCCTTCCTGTACAAGGCAATGGGGTGTGTACATGCCTGTATGTGTGTGGGGGCGGGGAGAGGTGGCAATAATAAAAACATGCTCCACCTTAAAGCATTTGAATTCTATGGCCTCAAAAAGCATCCACTTGGCCACCGCAAATAGGCTGAAGCCACCAGTGTGTGGATCCTCATATACTCTCCAGTTTATTGCCTACTCCTGTTCACTTCCCCAGGACCTGGGTAGAGGAAAATTAACGAGGAAAATGTAGCTTGTTGTTGGCTCTGACGAGGGAAAGAGGGAAGATCTGCATTTCTTGGCCAAAGGGAGAAGGTAAGTTCCGGACAGGTTAAGCTTTGACACTCTCCCTATCATCAGTTAGGAACAGAAATAAAGAGGGGGCAAGCTACAACATTCACACGGCCTGTTATGCAAAGATCTGACCAGAAAAGAAAATGACCCCTCCATGCCAGGGGTAATATGAATGGCTTATGGGAAAAGATGACTTCCTCAACAATGCACGTCACTACTCGGTAGCTGCTGTCACCAGCGTGGCATGATCCCAGGTGGAAGGGGGCTCCGCGTGGACGGAGCATTAGGGACGGCTGCCTCTTTCTGTCTCAGACTTGGGAATACAGTACAGCACACAAAGTCGAGAACCAGGAGCACGCTGCTAGAGCAACCCAGATGACATAAAAAGTAGACACAAAACACAGAATCTGATTCCTTACTGAAATGTGAACAGAGGTAGATAAAAGGGTCAAACAGAAGAAAGGGAAATTCTGAAGAGGCTAGTTTTAAGCCTCTAACAGAGGAGGTGGGACACTGACTTCTGGATGGTACTTTTGAGGAGAGAAGACCTACCTGAGGCCGACGTGGGCATGAATTCATCTCAGAAGGGGGGCCAGCACATTGACTCAGGCCAGCAAAACACTTGGTCGGAGATTATGAGTGATGGGTTGGGGGAAAGGAAAGAGGGAGGACAGTCAGGGAAAAATGCTGAATGCCTTCTGAGGTGACCCTGTATCTGATAAGACAACAAAAAGGAGCTGTCCAAAAAAAAAAAGACTTGGACAGGACAAGCATTTCTAGGTCAGAAATACAAGAGCTCAGAGAAAGAACTGGTATTGGGTTGGGGGGCATGTTGCATAGGGGGAAGGCAGTCAAAAACACACCAACAGGTAAGAAGCTGAGATTATAAAGGTTGGAGAGGAATGGTCACAAAGTCTGAAAGAGAGAGGAAAAGGCAATTAACTGAGAAGCCACTGTAGGGCACGCAGTATCTTCATTCTACTTATTACAGTGAGGGGAGGGCATCCCTGGGTCCTCTGGGAAGCTGGATGTATCACTAATGTGCTCTGTTACAGAGCTGCCCTAGTCACAGCTAAAACAGAGGATGTCAGTGAAGGTCACTGCCAGACTGGACACTTTTTCAAGCAGCACAAATTAGTCTGCCAGAATCCAGCAGGCAGAGTCAGGCTCTAACCCATACTATAAGTCAACATGAAGCCAAACACAATCAGAAATGCTTTAATCACTTCACAGATAATGAGGCAGGCCCAAATTCACAAGGCTAAGTTCAAGAAGTAAAGCAAGGGGGTGATAAGCACAGTTCATACTCTGCTATGACCTACTTTATTTTATTGTAGATATTTAATACATTTACATCTTTCATTTTAGAGGTCTGCATTTTTCCAGTTTCACATCAATTCATTACTTGGAGGTATTCATAGTCCTTGACTGCTTTCATAATGTTCATTTTATTATAGATCTCAAAAAATATACAGTGTTTGCATCAGTCTTCTCCCTAGAGCCTTGTCAAATGTGAGATTAGCCACAGAGCCTCATCCTGAGAGTTGAGTGTCAGCTTCCAGACCTCAGGGGCCACATTCCGATTGCCCTGAAGACACAATGAGCCGGTGAAAGGCTGGACATCCTGGGCTTCTTGAGAGGGCTCAGACAGACTACTTCTTGAATCTGATGGAACTTCTAGTTTTTGAGAGAAGACAAGCTGGACTGCTGGTAATGTTTTCTTCTCTGAAACAATGATGCACCTGAATTCACTTAAAGCACGAAATCTGATGACATCAAACTGTGTTCGTGGAGGAGGTATGCTTAGAGACCGAATGCATGGATAGAAAACTCTGTCTTCCCTCACAAGGGCAATGTGAGTGTTCAGAAGGACCAGTGACTGACAGGGGTCTTGGCCAGAATCATCTTCAACTCTGACCGTTGTGTAGAGCAGTAACTGAACCTCTGCCAGAGGTGGGATGTTGACTTCCATATTTGCATGAAGAAAGTAAATCATGTCAACCATGGTATTCTGGAATTTGGATGACAACCGAACTCCATTTGACAAAACTAAATCAGGGATTTCTGCTTTCCAGTCAAGAGACAGCTGCACCAGATCTTGCTGGAGCAAAGGATGACTAGTGCAGGCAGCAGCATCAGACTCGGGTATCAGGACACACAGGAGGTCACGGCATATTTGTTGACATAGGCTTTTGTTATAACTAAATACAGTCAGCAGGAGACTCTCTGCAGAGCCCAGGAATCGAATGCTCTGCCCACCAAAGCCAATTTTAATCTCCTGTAGTTCAGAGAGAGGTAGAGCATGAAAAATGCCCATGGAGCCTGAGGGGTTATCTGACAGAACCAAAGCACACAACGTTGAAGGAAGCAGGAGCAAACACACCGGCTGGGGGTCAGGGTCTGTGCAGTTAGCAACAGCGAGCCAGTAAACGCCTCTGACTTCATGCATGCCACCCAAAAGTTCTGGTAAGAAACAAGCCATATGTTCAAGAAAGTCTTTTAAAGGGCACTCTTGAAGTTTCAGCATTTGATCTGGGAATTGCACAAGGGTCTGCTTAAATGCAGAGATCCTTCCAGCATCTTCACATTCCAGGCGGACAACTGAGCTCAGCAAGCGACCTGGTACCTCTGCAGCTGTAGAGCCTGGTACTCTGTACGGCACCTCTGCTCTCTTGCCAGCCCCTGACTCCTGGCTGTTGCTGCCACCAACCTGATCTTCTGCAGGAAAAGAATGAGATTCTGGTGATACCCAGTGTGACTTCGAGGACATGTCCAGAGGTAAGTGTTTCACAAATGGCAGTCTTCTGATAAATGTTACTTGAGAGGTGAGCTTACTGGGATCCCACAGGTGCCCCACATGCCTGGCTCGGCTGATCATCTTTGTGCCAGCCTGTAGCAGGTGACTGCTAGTATCTTTATAAAGGTTGTAAAACCTGTGGTAAAAGTATCCCAATCCACTGCTTCCTTCTGTCCTGATATTTATCAGTGACTCTGGAGAGCTAAGGTTTTTAGATGCTAACTCCTTCTCAGTGTGCTGCTCACTACAAAAACTTGAGGGGGGTGAATTCTGAAAAATGCTGGCAGATGAGCTCTCCTCACTAGAAACACTTTCAGAGAGAACATAGCAGAGTAGCTTGCTTTCCCTGGTCTGTTTGTTTCCACTGTTTATAGACACTTCTTGGCATGTGTGTTGCAGCAAAGTCCAGCTGGACTCGATTCCCAAGTTGTGTTCATTTTTATGCATCACTGGATCACTGAAATTTTCTGAGTTAACGTGAAAATGTTGTGCATTGCTGGTGCTGTTTTCATTAAGAAGAGGGACTTTAGATAGACTGAGACATTCTGACTGAAAACCACCTGTGTACTCAGGATGACTATATTTGCAATCACTGTCCTGCAGCACCGCAGGCACTGAGGGCTCATCCCTTCGCTGGTGGATTCTCTCTCCTGATGCTGGAGAGAAAGTTGTAGGGCCTGACATGCTCCCAGACACAGGATCTCTCTGGTGGTTGTTCTGACGCACCTCCCTCCTGTCCTCTCTGTTGGACGTGTCAGTGACATCTTTGGGTAGCAGTGGGGTAAGATGCACTTTCTGTTCAAGATGTCAAAAATAGATGAAATGGGGATGTGGGAACAGCTTTTGTGATTCTTTGCAAATGAAGATTTTGGCAGCCATTGGTTTCATTGTGTGGATTGATTCAGGGGTTAAATCAAAAGCCTAAGCCATTAGCATTGATCAGTATATGATTTAAAATATAAATGACCAGATTGACAGATAGAACATCAATTTCCATATTGTATATTTTAAAAATTGCCAAGTCCTTTTAGAAAAATACGTTCTATAGAATTGATAAACAGTATCCATTTCTTGGTCTAAAATTTCATTTACTCTAAGTTAAATCTTAAGACCTTTGCGTCAGTTTTCAAAAAGTCAAATTTAATTGTAAAATAATCTATGACCATATATCCAAAATGTAAAAGTAATCAGGGGATACTTAATGAAATCAGAGAGCAAGGCCAAAAGTAACTGACAAGTAGCCTAACCTGAGTAACATTTCTCTTACCTCTTGATTTGTTGTATGATGTTCCTTAATTTTACCTGGTTCGATTGCAACTACGGTATCTACAAACCAGCACCACAAAAGGCCAGGCATTATGGGTATGAAGAAATGAAAGGCAACCTCCTGCTCTTCACAAGGTTATTAGCTAAAGAGACGGCTGTCCAGAGGAGGGTGCCATTATGGATTCCTGGAAGAGGACAGGGCCGTGGCCGGTCAGGCCAGCCCGCTGTGGGGCGCCCCCTTTTCATCTCTCACTCTGTTCAGTGACTTAGAAATGCATCTGTAAGATTTATGTCAGCTTACTTCTTAAAAAAGTTTAGCAATGTATGGGAAACACCCTCAGTGGAGAAAAACAAAAGTAAACCCTTACAAATTGTATGCCCGAATAAACCTTGCCTTGACAATCCACCAGACAAATAAGCTAATAAGCCAAGAATTACTCCCTTTGTACTACTGCCAACTCAGTCTATAAAATAAGCAGGGTTTTTAAAATATCTAGAAGTACTATTACATTTCCAAATCCCATATCTGATTCTGATTATACAATTCTGCTTTTTAAATGCAAATGAAGGGAAAGGATACTGTTACCAATGGAAAAGTGGGCAAGGTGCCTCCACCAGTGCGATATGCCAGTCAGATACAGTCAAAGCGGTTTTCGAGCTGCAGGATTTCATTTAATTTTTAGTCCGTATAATAGTCTGCCTTTGCTGTTAGCCATTAATCTCACTGGGACTTCAAGATTCTAATTATGCAACTAAACATTAAGAAAATTTAATCATATGATCATGCCATAATTTAAGGCAACCCTATCAATCTAAAAAATCATTACCTACCTCATATTTTAGCTTACGTTGAATGGTACCATTGTGAAGTTTCTCATTATTCTGAAAAGAAAATAAAAAGCCCTCTATATTAAATTATAGCATGTTCACAGAGGAGGAAATAACTAATTTGATTAGAAATGTTTATAGAACAAAATTCTAAAGAAATATACTTGTCATTCAACAATGACAACCTTTCTATAGAATTTATATTTCATAGAGTCATATAAACATGACTCTATCGATCCGTCTCCCTGTAAGATAACTACACTATTTATTCTGAATTTTAAAATCGCAAGAATATTAAAAGCAAGATGTCCTTAGGACAATTCTTAAATGTGTGGGCTAGAAATACAATGCTTTTATTTTGATAAAAATCAACTTTTGCAAATATGTATCTTCTCAAAGGCAAAATTATACTTTTACTTTGAATAACTTATCAAATAAATTAGTTATGGAAGTTGGTTATATTTTTATTTTTATATGTCTTTTCAATTACAGTTTATATTTTATACTTAATATAATTTTGTATTAGTTTCAGGTGAAACTGGTTGTATTTTTGCAGAAAATAAAAAAAAACTACATGTAGAATTTTTATTTAATATTTTTTTCAGTTGGGATTTTATTTTTTAAATCTTTATTTTCTAAATCTTTAGTTTCTTTATACTCCTTGTCCCCAAGCAATCACCAACCACACTGTGGTCCACGTCCATGAGTCCTCTTTCCTTTTGCTCATCCTTCCATCCCCTAACCTCCCCTGCCCCCACCAGCTGTCACACTGCTCTCCATTTATGATTCTGTTCCCATTTTCACTGTTAGTTCAATTTGTTCACTAGAGTCCATATATGAGTAAAGCCATGTGGTATCTGTCTTTCTCTGACTGGCTTATTTCACTGAGCATAATGCTCTCCAGGTCCATTCATACTGTTGCAAAGGGTAAAATTTTCTTTTCTTGCAGCCACTAGTATTAAATCAAACAAAGTAAATAAAATATTTAAGAAACTTTACATCCACTTAAGAATTTCCCCCAGAACTTCAAAACTTTAAGATAAATAAAGTTACTTTTGAACAAATACTATTTGGGAACTGTTGAGCTCCACCCAGGCAATGCTTAATTTTTCTAGAACATCTGCATCTCAATTTTCTCACTGAGACACAGTAACAAAAGATCCAACAACCACTCCCACCACTAACTTATTGAAAATTCATTTTTAAAATGACTCTGTTACTTTGGTTCCTTTAGCTCACCTTTGTCATAACTGCAGATGTGTTGCTACTGTTGCCAGTCACACGATGCAAAACCTGAAGACGCCTTTGGACTTCTTCTTCAATGTAAGCACTGACCCTGCGAACGGTGGAGATGGCGGTACTTGAACATTTCTAACATCACAGGGCACTGGAGATACTTTTCTTATTATGCCCTTCATGACAAGAAACTTTCTCATTTTAAATGCCAAACAGAACAACAACTCTTGGACCTTAAACATTTTTCTGCTTTCTAAGAAACCTAGAGCCATTTTACTAGGTACTAGGTTTCTTAGTTTACTATCTGTGTTTTCTCCAAATGAAAAAAAAAAAAAAAACAAAACTGGCCAGGTAAACAGAATCTTGAGAAGGGAAGGGAAACTAAGCCATCCCCTGCTGGCAAGTGGGGGAGAATCACAGACTCTGGTCTCCCAGGGCTCCCCAGACGCCAGCCATGAGTCACTGACTCAGACCCAACACTTCATTCAATCAGCCCTAGTTTCCTCACACAGAAAACAGATAGCCCAGAGTTTAGAGTAATACAGTACAGTATGTACCTTTCAGTACCGAAAACAAAGTCAAATGCAACTGAACCTGAGGCAAGGCTACAACAAACAAATTACCTCTAGGACGTTTACTTAATTTTTAAACTCGCCCCGTGGAGTGTGCAGCCCTATCTCTAAAGGGCTACAGAGGCTCTGATATTCTGAGTACCTTCTCATAGCTAAACGGATACGTGTTTGGAGCCATGTGTTATGTCACATCCATGACATAAATGGGGTTGAAAAAATATTCAAGTTTCTTACAGACAAAGACCAACTGGATTAATTTATCAGAGATCTAAGCCACAGAGCATTTGACAATGCCACCCAAGTTGAGAGTCATTTTACTACCAGATACACAGTTATGTTATTCATGGTCATCCTGAATATACTGGTATGATTTTTGTAATAGACTTCATCTATTTGTAATAAATAACTTCTACAGATTAACTGTCAGTATAGGTTCTTCTTCTTGGTACAATTCAATTAACTCTATTTCTTTGTCCCTCTCAACTTGGCCTTCATCACTCCTTTCTGGATGAGATGGTTTCCCAGGATCTTTTACTTCTACCTTCTCATACATACTGCTCACACTAGCATTCCTTGGACTTAGCAGGCCAGTACTCAGGTATTTGGTTCCCTTTAAAGGAAACCCAACCCACCCACCACTGGCCAGGTAGCAGTTGATGGAAACACAGCACATCTCAGGGTCATAAATTACTTGTCACTTTGACAGACCCCTCCATAAGTTAATTGGCGAATAAGAGGCACAGGGACTCATTGAACCACAGAAATGTAGGCGTGGCATCGGTTTAATGCCCAATACCTGGCATCCATCAGAGGAACCAGTTGAGATTTTTCAGCATTGGATGACAAGCTGGAAGAAGCAGCCTTTCCCTCCAAGGTACCAAAATGCCCCTTCTGAACTTCATCAGCCTCACAGATCTTCTGCTTCAACTGCTGGATTTCATGTTCTAACCTACATAAATGGAAATTACATGAATTCAGTCATTAACAATATTTCCTGAGCATAATCACTGGTTGGGACATTGCTTTAGTAACCATGGGGAATTTAGACAAAAACTGTGGAAACAGATTGCCTTCTAAAAGATGCTACATACCTAAAAGATAAGGTATAAGGTGATAACAGGTCACAAAAGTGGTTCAGATCGAGTGCTGTAGGCACCCAAAATTGGAGACTTTTACCATCAAGGGCCAAGATGTTTCACTGTGCCGCAAGCAAATCCTCAGAGGCAGATGTGCAGGATTTAGAGCCCTCTACCCTGGCTTCCATAAAACAGTTGCTTACTATATATCAAGATCCCACTTAGTATTTCTGTTCGACAAAAGAGAGCTAAGCTTTAAAGAGTTCTTTTTTTAAATCATCAATCTAGGAAAACCCTCAAGGACAAGGTAGTTCTAAGTTGAACCTTCAGAGGCCAGTAGGAATTTGGAGCTTTGGGGATGATGGTAGAGGGTTCTTCAGGTAGAGAAAGCAGTATGAACACAGAAGCTAAGCCACAAAAATCAGGAATCCACTTTGGCTGAGACAGAGAGTATAGAAGAGGCAAAATGATGAGAGATGTAGGAAAGCAGGCTGGCTGTCTCAAGAAACTCATATAAACCATAAACTGTGGAAACAAACCTTTATTTCCTATGACAAATAATATATCTAACATGAGGTCATTTGTCTGTGAGGCTGTTCTCCACTGAACCAGGGTACTTGAATCTGGAGTCAGGCTACAGGACCAAGTTTGGCAGTGAACTTGGTCCCAGGGAAGACAAGACTCATCTAGGAGGTGCAGCCCTCTTGGTGTGTGAACTAGGGGCAAGTTAATGAAATCTGTGTCTCAATATCTTTAGGTATCAAATGAGATAGTAGATTAGTCTCTCTAAACTCATCCAGATCCAAAAATCAGGGATTCTAGCTTCAGATGCTAACATACTATAATGCCCCCAACTCTCTGATGTCACCAGCAGCAATTTGACTGCTCCACTGGAAACATGAAAGCCACTTTCTTAACTGTTGAAATGAGATTATGGGGTCACCAAGGTTAGCACTCATGGGTTCATTGGGATGCAATGCCCTGCCTAACTCAGTGCTTCACCTTTCTACTGATTAGCAAGTCCTTACAGAGCATCAACTTTCAGAGCACACAATATTTTCGAAGGACAAGGGAATGCGCATGAAAGAGTGATGTTAGGGACCAGGTGCTGGGGCCAACAACCAGGGAACAATATTAACAGAGTCTCAGAGATCATAAGGAAAATTAGCTGAATATAAGTAGGTAACTGCCAATGTTTATGATTAAGATGTTGCCCAATGGAGCTGTTCAAAGACATCTTTCAGGGCTGGTACCATGTAAATGACTCTACAGAGCAAAGGGGTTCAAGCAAAGCCTTGAGAGCTGAGCAGGATTTATAGAAAGGGTTGCAGCACACAGGAAGAACCAGCCTGTCAGGGCAGCAACTCTGTGTCAACAGACAAGAGGTTAAGAGTTGGGAGGTAAGTAGACCTAGATTCAAGCTGTTGCTCTGCCACTTCCTGCTTGACACTTGTCCTTAGTGGTTATATAACCATTAAGTAGAAAAAGGACAGAAAATGGATTAAATTGTGTCCACAAAGCAACCGACAGGCAAAGCCAAAGTTCAGTGCACTGCTGTCCAATCTGTTTGCACATGAATTTAATACTGTACACTTGCACATTTCATGAGTGGTCAACTCAGGCTGCCTGGCAGGCCCTGGCTTAGCCATAAGAACTCGGAGAGATAATAAAACACTAAAAAAACCACAAAAGCATCACAGCTATAGCAGAGAGCTCAGATTTGTTGGCATGAATTAGGTCTTAGAAAAGTCTACTCCATCAAAACACATGACAGTAAAAGCCTCCTTTGCGTGGCTGCTGGAGGAATGCTGACATTGTAAAATCACTTCCCTGGAAATCACAATACTGTATCTGCTATAATAGAGTATTAATACTAAATGGCAGGGAGCAAAGCCAGATGACGAGAGCCAGGGACATCAAGCTAAAAGCTCACGCTGCATTTTTACTGCACACTGAAAGATACAAATTGAGAGCCTGCCCTCCACTACTTCAAATTTCCTGGGGCTGGAGTTTTGTCCAGCAATTTCATTTATATAACATACCTGCAATCACATTGTTAAACCTCTAACCTATTTCCTCTGAAGTAATAGCATTATGGTTTTTTATTGTTATTTGTTGCTGCTTTGCCTGAGGGAATTACTAGAGAGTAACTGTAAGCAGAACCCACAGTATAAGCAGATCATTTGAAAGGAGGTTGTCCAGACATTTTCAGTCAAGACAATGGATGGAGGCTCCAGGAACACCTCAGAGTAGGCCTTGCCTGGCCATTAGCATGGACCCCAGGCCTCTGCCGATGTCCAGCTGGGCTCCTACAGGCCAGCTGACTGGGCTTCTGTTCCAGCCCCTAAAGAGGGCGGGGGGAATGTTGGGAAGGGGGCAGCATTCCAGACCCTCCAACCTGGGCTTACAATTAAGATCTCAGCTGAACAAAGGTCTGAAACTTAGATAATGCACAGACCCCTGGTCTCACCCCCCCTCCCTATGACAGTGAAGACACTGTGGCCCAAAGATGAAAGATCCTGCCCAAGGTCAGCATGGTAGAAAGGGCTGAGCCAGCAATTAAGTCACATGCAGGACAAACCAGGTGATGTATGCATACCAGGTGGCCCTGAGGCCTGAGAGTCTTGGCATCATGTCTTGAGGTTACCAGGAAAAGCATTCTCCAATTCATGTATGTATTCGTTTTGAGAACCTACTGTATGTGGAACAGTGATAGGGGATAGGTGAAAGAGGAGAGTATTCTCCCTTCATCATGAAAATAGTGCTACTTCCTAGTTTTATTTTTCACACCACTAACAGTAATATCAGTCAATAATCATCAAACATATTGGAACATATTACTGGGAGTTCAGAAACATAGAGAGTTTTGTTTGGTTGTTTCTTTTTAAATACAGAATCCTGGGGCCTCCCTTCAAATACGTACTGTGAATCATCAGGGTGGGAAAAGTATGTTCCCTTCCACCTCGGGTGTGGAAATCAGTATCTGTGAAGGCAGTGTGGGGTGCTTTACTGTAACTCGGGCTAGTCAGGGGGAAGATGCAAAGCCAATGATGAGGAAGGGGAGAGGGAAAGAGACGAAGGAGCTGAGTAGGGAGGAGGAAAAAACAAAGAAAGAAGGGAGGGAGGGAGGGAGGGAGGGAGGGGAGGGGAGGGGAGAACAAGGAGTGGAGAGGAGGGAAGAGGGAGTGGGGAGGGAAATAGAAGGGAATGGAAGGGTGAAGACAGACTAGAACAAAGAAAAAAGAAGGAAGGACTCGAGGCTGTAAGTTCTCAGTCTCTCGTATTTATCAAATATTAAAACATACACATTTCATAAGTCAATGAGGTAATGGACGAGGGCTTTGTTTTGGTTTGTGTAGTCTTTCCAACTTTTAGGCCAATGATTCTAAAATAAAGGTTGTAAGGAGGAAGTAAAGGATGTTTAAGGATATTTTTCTGAGGCAAATAAGCATTTGCCTGTGTGTCAGAGAGTAGAAAAGCTCAATGAATCACTTTTAAAAAAGAGTGAGATACTTGCTATGAGAGGCGGGAAATGTGCAATGTACCTGGCATCAGTGCTACACGCCAGGCTCTACCTTCCCTTGCCTCACCTCTCCCGGTCCTTCTCCAGGGCCTCCTGCTCAGCTTCCAGGCTGGCCTGCAGCCCTGACTGCTCACTGCTGCTGCTGTTCAGAGTGGCCAGCTTCTGCCTCTGTTCCTCGATCTCCAGGCCCAGGGTGGAGCGCCTCTGCAGGGCTGAATGCCTCCTCTCCAGCCGGGCTACAGCCAGCTCCAGAGCCTCCCTCTGCTGCTTCTCTCGGGACTCTAGAATCTCCTTTTCCTTTTTTCTCACTTTTTCTTCCTGCCGTGCAATGTTGGCAGTGAATTCGAAGGTGGCCTGGAGTTTCTGCAGCTGGCTTGCATTGGCTTGGTACTGTGCAAGCTGTTCTTCTTTTTCTTCCATTTCTTTTTCTACTTGGTAAAGAGTGTTGTCTAGGCCGAGAGGGCCTCTATCAAGGATTTCAAATGCTCTCCGCTTTTCTTCTAACAGAGTTGGCAAATGATTCTGCAGGAGGTACTGGAGCTGGCGTTCTTTATATTGCAGCCTGTACTCTGCTGGCTTTATTTTCTCTAAGTCTTGAGTGACCTGTGTGACATACATGACACTATCATCATTTTTTTCCAACAACCTAAATTCTTCTTCACTCTCAGATTTTAAACGCTCTAGGGTTTCCTGTTCTTCTTCAACTTCTTTCCTTAGGAGGTCCTTCTGCTGCACCAGGTCCTTCTCCAGGTTGGCTAGCTTAACCAGCTGCCTCCTCTTGAACTCTAAGAAATGTAGCTGAGCCCTTTCCAACTCCTCGCCATCATCGTCGCCCTCAGCACGGGCTTCCTTCACCCGCAGAAGGGACTCCCGGATGCCTTCCAGGTCTCTCCTCTCCTCTTCCGCCCGCTGCACCTCCCCTCGCCGGAGGAGCCGGATCATCTCCTGCTTCTCCCGGAGCTGCTCTTCGAGATGGGCCACCAGCATGACCTGCTCCTTTTCTTGCTCCTCCAGCCGCTTTTTCTCCAATTCAAGCTTGGCATATTGCTCATCCTTTTCCCTTTTCAGCCGGTCCAGTTCTTGAAATATCTGGATCTTCTCAGCCTTCTCGTTGTTGTTGAGTTCCTGGAGCCGCTGCAGTTCTTCTTTGACCCGGAGAAAGCTCTCTTCTTCTTGTTTCCTCTTCTGCAGTTCAATTTCCTGCTGCTCCCTCAGTCTTTCCTCTTCAAATTTTTCCTTCTCTGCGAGCAGATCCTTCAGCCTGCTCTCAATGTGGAAGCTGCGGCGTTTGAGGCTCTCTTCCTGCTTGCGGATCTGGAGCTGGACAATTTCTGTCTCCTTGCGCTGACTCTCCACCTCTTGCTGCATCCGCTCCAGTTCTGCCTTATCTGACTTCTGCTTTTCCTCCATTTCTTCTATGAGTTTCCTGAAATGCAGAATGTTGACTAGTCATTATTTGACCACAGTGTTCAAATGTTTCTCTTTCCCCTGAAATGCTCTGCAAATGAATATACAATATAAAGCCAAACCCTTCACTACAATAAAAATGAGGGAAAACTGTTTGCCTTTTCATTTCCAGTAGCAGGCTGCTTAATTTTTTCACTCTAGAACTGTTTAACATATCATTTCATATTATTTGCCTAATCTCTTGAAGTAGCCTCTGATATCATTTCTTTTGTAGAGTCTATAAGCATAATATGTTATGAATGATGTAATTTTGAAAGCCCCATGAGCTCAAAGAGAAAAAAGCATGCCCAATTTAAATTTAAATGTGAATAATTTTGTTCAGCCGTGTGGCTAAAATGCAACAGAAATTCTGTTATGAGATGACATTATATAAAAATGTTTATGCTGTCTTCAAATCATTTGGGGTCAAATATCAAAGTCAAGATAATCAACATTGTTCCTACTCAGATAACTACATGCTATTTAGCATTTAATCACTAGTTTAGGAAAAATGGTAATCACCAAATGGCCCAAAATATTAGCTTATTAATACATAAAACTGAAAATAACAGTCTTCATTAGAATACTTAAATGCATGATCCCAGGGGTTGCATGTTATGTTTAGTCCAGGAGAGCAAATGATCTCCACTGGGTGCTAACTCCATGTTTTGAGGCTGGGGCGGCCTCCAAAGCAATAACACAGAGTATGTAAGAGCATGGATACATGGCTTCCCTCTCCTGACCTACCAAGGATCTACTTTATATGGTACTGGAAACTAATTCATTTGTAATACCTAAAGTCCAGATTCTAGAAAATAAATATTCACTTTGCATATTTTCTATGGCTTTAATTTCTACTCCAATATCTTAGTCCACTTCTTGGACTATTAAATAGAACAGAAAAAGGAAAAGGAATTTTTTAAATCAAATAATTGTATTTAGAACACACAAAAACTCTCCAAATCAATAAAAAAAATCAGACACACACACATGCACACAAAAAAATGAAGTGCAGAATACTAAGAAGTGGATTATAGAGGGTAATGCAAATGGCCAACCAGCATAAGAAAAGATGTTTAAAAGGGGGGAGGCATAAGGAAGGGAAATTGTTGTTCTTTCAGCTTTTTAAAAACTCAGCTGATATTTTTAAAGAAGATAAATTTTTGTGAGTTAAGTTTAAACAAGTACATACTTGGCATATCAAATTTAAAAAGTGTATTAAATTTGCCTACTAAGTCAATTCCTCCTTTCTCACCAGTATTTGAGGATGAACTATTTGAAAAATTCAAATAAGATGTAAAACTAACCAGCTAAAGAAGAATGGCCTACAGCCATTAGACATGTCCAAACAGACACAGAGTCAGAGGGAGGCACCGAAACAGACACAGAGGAAATCAGTTTAAGACATTAACACAAGAATCCACAACTACAGTACGTTAAAACTCAGTAACCCATGTAGCTTACCTTTTGCTTTCTAATTTTTCAAGTTCTTCACGCTGCTGTCGCTCAAATTCAAGTCTAAATAAAATCAAATAAAAATGAGTCACTTCTCTACAAAGCTTTCCTCTCTTTTAATCTTTATACTGGTATGTTTTACAAAGAGCATCAGTTATTCGAGTATGATTTTTCACTACTATGAATAGCAAGTTTAAAATGAATACTCTGCTCTATGACTATGATTAGAAATTAGACATTCTTTTATGGGTGCTTGATTCAGACTAAATAAAAACACTTGACTTAAAGGAAAACAAACAAAACACCACTGTACTGAAAAAGCATAGTGAGAGGAGACTTCTAAATGAAAAGCACGTCTACTCCATGCAGTTTAGTGACCGATGAGCATATAAAAATGAAGAATCTCTACCTTAGACAGATGGGTCCTTTTATAGGGAAAAGACTGCCAGGGAGGTAGAGAGACAAAGTACAGACATCAATTAAGAAAAGAATTAACTGAGGAACATATTAGGAGAAAAGCAATAAGGTACAAAAGCCAATAGCCAAGCACAAATTGATGTGTCTATTCATAAATATCACATTTCCCAATAATTTCTTGAAGCAAACACTTTAACACTCCAAAGAGTTAGCTGTTATGCATACTTCCCATGATAGTTATAGCACTAATAATTGCTGAGTGTGAGTAATAATTGCAAACAATAGTCAAATTCACACTTTCTACTTTGCAGATAGTTATGCAGCAGGAAGTTTGTCAAAATCCTCCTTAACTAGTAATTACATGAGGCTACATAGATCAGAAACAGATTTACCACAATGGTAGAAAAATAAATGGGGTTGAGCCATTGGCAATTTTGAAAAAATAACTCATATAAATATTTATAATGAAAGCTGATTTTTCTCAAACACTAGATTTAATTACTGTAAGATTTCACTGTTTCTAATAAATAGCATGAACTACAATTCACACATTTTCCTGTTGTGGTAGATGGCAGATACATCTAAAAAGTTGAACTATAAAAAAATTCACCATGAATTATTTTCTTGGATAATGCGCAAGTCCAAATTGAACACAGTTACCTTTACAATGAGCTTACAAATATTTCAAATAGATGTGTCACCAATTTAATGTGGTGTAATACCAAGAGTAAGATAGCTATGGACTTTGTAAGCAGAAATGAGTGTTGTGCTTAGTGATTCACACATTAGCTTACTTTATCTTCCTTGCAAATCCTTAAAGGTAGCAAATAGTATCTCCAGTACACAGATTAGGAACCAAGCTTGTATATATGAATGAACTTGAGGTCATAAATATAAGATATGATGGAACCAGGACTTGAACCCATGGCAGCCTGCTTCCAAAATATCCTCAATTAACTCACTTTTAAAAGCAATGCTCAAATTTGTGATATATAAAAGTATTAAATCCTTCTGTTAAAACTTGCCATTTAGGGTTATATTTATCCTTCTATCAAATGAAAGTAATCTGTAGATTATAGGCACTGCCATCCATGAAAAGTCACTAATACACACACACAAACACACAAGGTTTTTGCCAGTTCCTGAGCCCAGAACATATGTAATTACACTAAGTAGGTATAGGGCTCCATTACAGTCAATATATAATCATTCTCTCTTATATGACAATGAACAAACCTTGGAAACTTTTCCTAGTAGATTATTTTTTAGACTTTGGTACAGTTTAACCTTTCTATAGATATTTATACAGTCAAAAAGAATCCCTGGATAAAACACTTTCAAACTCAGAGAATTTCACTAATGGAATTATCTTTATTCTCTAGTTTTATTTTTGTGAACAAATAGTTCAATGTGACTATTAACAGACACTATTATTAGACACTGCTCTGACAATGTCACAAGTGCATAGTCATAAGCCAAATGCTACTCCAAAAGTTGGGAGATCCAAGTTCAAATGAAAACCTATTACCTGAGGAGTGTTTGCAATGTGCAGGCACCAGGCTAGGCAGTCAGCGTGCAACGCCCTCACTTTGTTCCCCTAACCCCAGCAGGTTGACAGGTTTCTTATCCTTATTTTATAGAACAGGAAGCTGAGGTTCAGCATGTAAGTGGCAAAGGGAGAACTTGAATCCAAATTTGATACTAAAGTCTGTACTGCCAACAAATATAATTTTTGCTAATGAGTTGCATGGTCTCAGGTCATAAAAAGTGAGTTTTAATATGTTCAATTCTCTAAAATGACACTCTGAGCATGTACTTTCTTAAATGAGCACAATATCAGGCAATGAGCTAGGCACAGAGAACACAGCAGTCTGTAAGGAAGTACCCAGAGGGCCCCCAGTCTGTGACAGTCACATAAACACAAGTATGTCATGAGCCAGGCCTGAGGAGGGACACTGTTACACAGAGAAGGGTACTAACCTCACAATTGGTAAGTATGTAAAATGAAAGCAAGCTACGTGAGAAAACCTATATCTAAGCTGCATCATTCTTCCTTGTGCATGATACAGAAACTCAAGAGAAGTTCGAAATAACCAAATCTTGGCTTGCTAATGGGGGAAGTGGCAAGACACAAATCTCAGTAGGATGCCAGAAGCCAGAGAGTGAAGGGCCTTAAAGTTACATTTAGAATTCTGAATGTGACACTAAAGATGACGATAGAAAAGTATCTTAGAATAGGGTTATTCAAAAATACATAGAACCTGTGTTCTGTAGAGAACAGGTGAGAGGGGGACAATATGAGTAACCAAAAAACAAATTAGGAGGTTGTTGTGGACATATAAATAAGAGAGGATGGAGGCGGAAACTAGGATAACTAAGAAAAAGAAGATATTCTCTGATTTTCTCAGGAGCGTGGGTTGACAGAACTTGATAATTCGTTGCATTCTGGGGGGGGTGTGATGAGAAAGGAAGCTGACTCTCAGTTCTCTGGCAAAGTTACATACAAGGTGGGAAGGCTACACAGAGAAGCTGAGGAAAGAGGTAAGCAAGTGTGACGTCTTACAAATTCTAGTGGTTGTGAGGCTGCGTAATGAATTATTTAACCTTAGATGCTTATTTTCTGTAGAAATTGAGGAAAACAACAAGCCTTACCTCAAAGGATTGTAGCCAGGCTCAAATGAGATAACACATGCAAAATATTTGTAGAGCATCTGCACATATTAGGTCCATAACAACTGCCTCTCCTTGTTATGACTCGCTAAGATAAGGAGGAACACTGGACAGAGCCAGCTGGGGAAGGGGGAGAAGTAGCAGGGGTAGCTATAGTAGTCCTAGCACTCACGGTGGTGAAGGTGGGAGTAGTTAACTTCCACTGAAGGTTCAGTTTATACCGTGCTCTGAATACTTTGCCTTTAACTTTCACAATGGCCCTGTGTGATATATTTCCCATATTACCTATGAGAAATGGCCATATTGCTAGTTAATGGCAGAACCAATATTGATTCTAGAGTCCATAATTTATTAATTATATTTTATTGATTATGCTATTACAGTTACCCAAACTTTCCCCTTTTGCCCTTCTCCACCCAGCAACCCCCACTCCCTCAGGCAATCCTCCCACCATTGTTCATGTCCATGGGTCAGGCATATCAGTTCTTTGGCTACACCATTTCCTATACTGACTTTATATCTCTATGGCTATACTCTAACTACCTATTTGTCCTTCTTAAACCCCTCACCTATTCACCCATTCCCCCATACCTCTCTCCCATCTACAAACATCAAAATACTCTCCATATCCATGATTCTGTCTCTGTTCTTCTTGTTTGCTTAGTTTGTTTTTTAGATTTAATTGTTGATAGATATGCATTTATTGCCATTTTATTGTTCATAGTTTTGATCTTCTTCTTCTTAAATAAGTCCCTTTAACATTTCATATAATAATGGTTTGGTGATGATGAACTCCATTAGTTTTTCCTTGTCTGGGAAGCTCTTTATCTGCCCTTCAATTCTAAATGATGTGTCTTCGCAGGGTAGAGCAACCTTAGCTGTAAGTCCCTGCTTTTCATGTCTGAATATTTCTTGCTAATCCCTTCTAGCCTGCAAAGTTTCTTGTAAGAAATCAGGTGACAGTCTTATGGAAACTCCCCTGTAGGTAACTAACTGCTTTTCTCCTACTGCTTTTAAGATTTTTCTTTATCTTTAAACTTCGGCATTTTGATTATGATGTGTCTTGGCCTGGGCCTTTTTCAATTCATCTTGTTTGGGACTCTATGATTCCTGGATTTGCTCATCTAGGTCCTTCACCAAATTAGGGAAGTTTTTTTTTCATTACTTTTTCTAATAGATTTCCTATTTCTTCCTTTTTCTTTTTTCTTTCTGGAACCCCTATGATATGAATACTTGAAGTTGTCCCAGTGGTTGATTAAACTATCCTCATTTTTTTTTTTTGGATTCTTTTTTTCTTCTTGTTGCTCTGCCTGGTTTTTGTTTCCTTATGTCCCAAATCTTTTATTTGATTCTTGGCTTCATCCACTCTACCATTGCTTCCCTGTAAATTGTTCTTTATTTCAATTAGTGCATCCTTCATTTCTGACTGGATCTTTTTTATGCTGTTGAGGTCCTCACTAAGTTCCCTGAACAATCCTTATAAACAGTGTTTTGAACACTACATCTAATAGACTGCTTATCTCCATTTCATTTAGCTCTTTTCCTAGAGTTTTGATCTGTTCTTTCATTTGGGCCATGTTTCTTCGTCTCCTTATTTGGCAGCTTCTTTGTGTTTGTTGCTATGTGTTGGGTAGAGCTGCTATGACTCCCCGTCTTGGTAGCTTGCCCTAATGTAGTAGATGTCCTATAGGTTCCAGAGGAACAGCCACCCTAAAACCCAAGCTGGGTACTCACGGAGTCTCCTTTGTGTGTGCCAAGTACACCCTCCCCTTGTAGTTGAGCCTTAGTTGCTGTTGGCAGATCAATGGGAGGGATTTACCCAGGTCAGTCAGCTATAAGGACTGGCTGTGACCACTGACCACCAACCTCAGCTCTCCATAGAGGATCACCTGTGCAGAGGCAGGGTGATGGTGCTCTAGTGTGATCTGTAGCTGTGTATGGGGTACACAGGCTATGGCATTTCCTGGGTGGTGCAGGCCAAGGTCAGCCCCCAGCTATGTTTTGCCCAGGGCCACCCTGCACTATAAAGCAATATGAGATGGCTGCTACTTGTGCTGGTCTTGGGAATTCACAAGAAAAGCCAAGGTGTGAATCTAGTCTGGCTGCTGCTAGTCCCATGCCTAGGACCACTTAGCAAGATGTATGGTGGCTGGGGGCTCACTGAAGCCAGCTGTTCTTTCTTTGAGAAGATTTAGGAAGTTGTGAAGCATGAGTCAAGACCAGCCATTCATATGGAAAAGTCGCTCTTTAACAGCTTGAATAGACCAGTAAGTTGAGTGGGACAGAGGCTTAGGGGATCTCAGAGACTCAGGGCAAGGCAAACAGTGTTAGCCAGGTTGATAGAGTCTCAGATAT